TGCTTCTGATGGCACAGTGAGATTCCCAAAAAGTTTGCTGGGGACGTGGTATGCTTTGAGCATTGTGAAATACTGGTGGGTACCCTTAAGCGTCTCACTGTCGTCTTTCAGTAACTGTGGGCAACTGCAACCGTCACATGCATTCCGAAGGAAGTGTTTGATGAGAAAACCAGCTACATAATATGCAGCGGAGTCATCGATAATATGGGAGTGAATGTTTGTCGCAAGTTCAGAGAGATCGTCTAGAGCGGGAAAGTCGTCAGGCTGTGGCTGTGCACACTCCTCATTATCCACAAGAGACGCACTGGTGAGGGAGAATGGCGACAGCTGTTCCTGGAGGAGGTCACATTCATCATCCTCGACATTTCCGTATTCTGACAGCTTGAAGAGTTTTCTTATGCAGATGTGCTTCAGGCCACAAATAAATTGTGCTACATTGGGGTTGGTGTTGCAACCCTGTTTTTGCCTAATGTGGCCAAATATGTTCTCCAGAGGATCCTGTTGAAGCCTGCGTGTTAACAGGTATTCAAAATTGTAATTTTTGGAGAGGTCGTCCCATAGTTGACAAATTGCCTGAATTGTAATTTGCCAACCTACGATGGTTTGTGGTTGACGTCTGCCAACAAACTGCCATGATGCAATCCAGGGAAGCTGGCCTCGGAGGAAGTCAATCAGCTCTGAATCATTTTTCATGATTGCATGCCGCAGCTTTTGCGAAGTTCTTTTTTTACTCGAGCTGTTCAAGGCATCGAAAATCCTGTCCATACGATCACAAAATTGAGCTGTAGTGATGGCCGAGGCAGGCAGCACCTTCGCATACACCATTGCCGTGATAGCAATCGAAACTGATGCACTGAAGACCTGAGTTGCTCTGCTGACCTTCATATTAGAAAAAGGTTTCTGATGAACGTGCCGTTCAGTCAACTTTGGAGCCAATCGCAACCGCAACTCATGTGAGGATTGGTAAAGGCTTACAATGTGCGACCAGTTAACGATGTCATCCCCAATGTATAACTTGTGTGCTTGGACATTATTGCGCGTTGTTTTAATTAAATGCGGAACATCAAAAATGTAATATACCCGCTCACCATTAACTTCAAAAAAAGGCTTTGCTACAGTCACTTTTAGTTGGTTAGCGAGACTTACATTTGAACTGCCCTGGTCACAAATGACTGCTTTCACTGCAATATTAATGCTCCTAAGCTCCAAAATGAGTGACACCAGCAAGTTATGCATAACAGATGATGGTGTTGATGTGTGCCCTATAGTAAAAGCAACCGGTTGAACCCACTTTCTCGAAACACCAACAAGAAGAAAAACCAGTGCTCGATCAGCGATGGTTGAAGTGCGATGAGTGCCATCATCTGTAAAACCCTGGACAACGTCTCTTGAAGCATCATAGTACAAATTCTTTTTGAGTGCTATTTCGTCGAAAACTAAAGCGCACACTCGGTCCCGTTCATTCCAAGCTTGAGTATTTGTTGCAATGGAAGAAAGGATTCCTGGAATTATGCCTGGAGTCATCTTTACATTAGCTAGCCACCTCCTTAATGAACGCCGGGAGGGCAAAGAAAAATACGGAGCCAGAAATCGGTATGCTCGCGGACCTCGGAAGTTTAAGTGAAGAGCGAATTTCTTGAACCACACGGGAAACCGCTTGCCCTTGCATTTGGGCCTCAAGCGAACATGTGCAGAAAGAAGTTTAAAAACCTCCTCGGTGACGTGCGGTCGGATAACTTCAAGGGCCTTCGTAGTCGATGACGGTGCTTGGTGAGGCTGTCTCTGCAGTCTTTTGATAGTTTTCCGCTGTGCTGCTACTTTGGCTTGCAGATGTTTAATGGTTTGCTTGTACTTCATTGATGGAGACATTGTCGCTGGCACACAGGAACGCACTGCAATAAACAAAAAAATTGATGTAAAAGCGAAGAACAACTAATCCCATACGAGCACTTTCCTCGCTCTTTCAGACCCAAGGTGCACAACTTTCTGTGGTACAAAGTTTTCGATTCCACTACCTAAAAACAAACCATTCACAATGTTGACAATGCACAAAAAAAATGAAAATCACTGAGAGCCCACCCTTACATTTTGTAAGTGCACACGTAGTGTCCTTTTGAGGATAGTTTCCTCAGAATGTCCTAAACATAAAATAGCACATTAAAAACTGCTGCAATAAAAGCATAGTCACCATTTTCTCTAAGGCACTCAGGCGTGGAGCTGTTGGCGGAGACGTCTTCTGGAGGGTCTTGTGAAGCTTGTTCAGTGCCTCGGACAATGCTGTCGGAACAATCTTGCGAGCGGCCTGCGGAAGTCTCTATATCAATCCACTCTGGTGTTGAAGTGAACATACAACTTACCGGCCACACAAGTTCCTTTTGTGACAGCTGAACGACTGGTTAAGGTTTTCTCCGGCAAGACGAAATCATCAGAAATTCTTTCACCAGCTACAAGGGAGCTGCCACCTGCAGAGGTTTGGTCAACAGTCAATTTGGGTAAAAAAAAAAAGAAATCGCGACACTGAACGCACCCTGTTCATCGGGGCACCTCAATGTGTGGGAGCCGCTTTGTGAAGCCTCTACCGCAGGTCCTGAAGAGATGAAATTACGACAATGTGTCAGTAAGAGGCTTATAATAACACAAACTGAAGCTCATCCGCACCTTGCAGTGCAGCTTCTGCAGCCATGTCACAGTCACTACTTGAAGCGACGCTCAGAGAACCTGCATATATGTGCAGTTGGTACAAGTTACAAAGCTTGTAGCATGGGGAAGCTTAAACAGCTCTTTCAAACGCATAAATTGGTCGAACGTGGAAGAAAAGAGACGGCACCAACTAGGAAACAAGTAATTTGTGATTTTTGGAATTATCAACAGTGGCAGCTTTCACTGATGAAAGGTATACGTACATGTGCACTCAGGCTTGAAGATAACGTGAAATAGCCCTTTAAAGTCTTTCAAAACAAGTTGCGCAGGTCCAGAGCATCAAAAAATGACAGAAATGTAAAGCTGCTGTTAGGAAGGTAATAGCCCACAATTCACAGAACTTAAGACTTTCCAAGTGTTACTTCTGTAGTGAGGTTTCTCTATCGGCTACAGAGATCTTCACGGTTAACTGTCGCCACTGATTCAATACAAGTGGCTGCTATTGCACATATTTGAGTTTCAGTCAATCACTTACATGGTGCAGCTGGTTGCACACTGGGAACAGCCATTCTTGTAAGCCTTGTGTGCCCAGGGTCCATGAAACTTTGAGCAGTAAAATGGTCGCTACAAACCCTGTACGTTGCGTACAATAGGCTGGCCGGCTTACTCAGGAGATCATCGCGTCCAGCATACTGCATCCATGCTTTCATCCTGCATTGGCAATGAACTATCAGCTGAAAGGGGAAGTGCTTGAATAGTGATTTTTTATTGTTACCCTCACTTAGCAAGTACGAACAGTAAGCCTACAGACATGCAAACCATACAAAAGCTTTAACACACCTGCCGTCCCGTGGTACGCGGAAGAAACTCGTCCCAGGCTTCTTGTGGGTTCTGCCATTGTTGAAGCACCACGATACACAGCAGTAGCTGCCGTAGCTTGGACCGCCGGACGGCATGGCGTCAGCGCGGTCTGAAAATGTTAGTAAGTGGATGCTTCGCTGTCAAATTACAAAAAAGATATGTGCACGTCATAAGTGTACCAGCAAACCCCTTTGAATGATTAGCTAATCGATGCACAATACAAAACCAGTGATACATCTCTGACCCATAAAACTCTGACTTACAAAGATATACGTCAAGACCACGAACAAAGATCTTCAGAAGTTTCCAGGCCGCTATCCCTTGTAATGCAATGGTATCGCGGCCTGGGAACATTAGAACACCTTCGTGCGTACGCAGTATCAGCAGTACATTGGGAAGAAAAATCGTAGTTGAAATTTGTGCGGTAAAATTATATTGGAAACGTCAAAAAAATTTGTGGGCAGCTTGCACTAGTGGCACAAGGCTAGCGAAGAAACGAAGATGATGGCCACTTGGCTAGTCCAGATTTGCCTCCGGCACACCAAGAATTATTCGTGTTCCGAGCCTTCGGGAAATGCGTCGTGAAGCATGCGAGGCCCAACAAACGCTTCTCAATATTTTGCACCGAGCCTACGACCTAGCTGCCCAGCTATGCTCAGCGCACAGACGCTCGCGTCCGTGGCAGACGCAGCACGCGTCGCCTCGGCTTGACGCCGTGCCGCCTTTTCTATACTGCATACGTTGCACAATGTTCCCGTCTAACCGCCGCATAGAGCCACAAACTTTCTTTTTAGCGAACCTCCCAGTCCTTACAAGCTTCAGAAAAAGGTTACAACTGCGTGAATGACACGCCACGTAAGAAACAAACTCGCACACACGAAGCGCAACGTGTGTGTGTGCATCTTTCTATGTTTGTTGCATGGTGTCTTTTTCGCGCAGGCGTAACCGTTTTCTGAAAAAATGACCCAACAAGACCAACAACATGTCATTCAACAAGCTTCGCTTGAAAACGTGCCTCACCTGTTATCTCACGCTTGAAAACGCCGACGCAGCCGACGTTGACGAAAGCGTCGAAAGCTTCTCGCTGTCAGTCATGCATGGGCTTGTCGCTGGGTAGATGGTGTTTATGACAGTACGGCTGAAGAAAAATAATCGCGTAAGGTGTGTTGAATAAATCGTTTTTATGTATAAAGAACATACCAAATTTGGGCGTGTAATTATTAATTTGTGAAAACAATTCTGTTGCATTGATTATAACTGTGTTTTTTTTTTGCGCTTGCGCCCTCTGACGTGTGGTGGGAGCACTAGTTCGTTACGTAGTCGTGACGCACTTCCTGAGGCCAGGTTTCGCGGAGTGTCCGCTCTTGTCTTCTTCTTTCTCTTCTTTCTCTATGATACGGCTTGATGGCGCTAGCCACCGCCCAATCTAAAGGGTACATCATTTCTATCCATCCATCCATCAATCCATCCATCCAATCTGAAATAAAGAAAAGAAAGAGTGTGGCAGCCGTTTTTCTGCTCATGCGGCAGGCATCTTCTAGAGGAGGCGTTGAATATACATACTCAGTATATTAACCATGTGCGTGTGTGGGCGCAACATGGCTCTTTAGCAGTTACGTGCATGCATTTTTCGGTGAGCCCCGTTTCGAAAGCCCTGTGATGATTGTGTTTGCGTGGTCATGTTCGCCGACGACGCTGAGGGCCTAATCGAAGGCGTCGGAAACGAGGTCCTCTTCACAGTCCCCGTCGTTGCGGCCGTCGTCTTCGGCCTGCTCTGTTTTGCCGGGTACGTCGCGTGTTTTGCTTCTACCTCGCGTGCTCGGACCGCTTAAATTCGTCTCGGACGCATGTGATAGTTGTTTGGGGGCATAGTGACGCGAGTATGCTTGTGTACCTTTATCGATGGCAAGCTTGAAATTTTGGGGTGCAAGTTGACTAAGGGCGCTATCGATGCAAGCAGCTGATTCGCGCGAGAATGATGGAAAAACAGACACATCGCAAGTAGAACATGTATGCTAAATAGGGTTGCCACCTTTACCAGCAAAAAAAAAAATAATAATAACGGCCCGTCTGTGTGGGGGTCACGAAGTTGAGGTTGTGTAGAAAATAAACGAAGCCCATGTTAAATCTTCGACATGCGATGACATTTACTGCACCCGCCTTCAACATCAATATAATATGTCCGCGTACAGACAAACACAGCACTGAGCGAAGCAGTTAGTCTCAGGTTGCAAGCGCACAGATAGATATCAGGAGTCTTACAATGTTTGCACTCAAAACGAGCGTTAAATTATTACGTATGCTGAACAAAATATTTGCCGCCGAGGTTTTCAGCCAAACTAAAAAAAATTGGTGCTGAAATTCGTAGGCGCAACCTTCATTTCAGACAGAAACTTGCAGAAAATGTCGAATGCAATGCGTTTTTCAAAAAACCGCCGCGCCTTGAACTAGCGTGCCTTCAACGAACTTCCTCGTGCGGCCGTGCCTGGAACAGGCGTGCCAACAATGCCATTCCGTCGCCCGTGTCTCTCAACCCGCTCAGCCCCCACTGTTCAATGTTACCAGGTGGGATAAATGCCACAAAGAAGGCGTAACATCTCAGCTTCTTCGTGGAACAGGGAGAGTGGGATATAAAGGAGAGGTTGAAAAAGGGAGGTAACGGACACGGACACGTGCATCTTTCAGCCGTGGTGCTCGATTAGGCACTGCGCCGGGCTCCCGATCGGGCTGCAGAAATTAGGTGCCTTTCTCCTCTTCTAACCACTACCACCACAGCTGGCGTACAGCCGCCACACGCAAACAAAAATACGGCCAGCAGTTCGAAAACGTGTGTAATGAACTCTGTTTGTCGGAATAGACGTGTCTTCCAAGTAGAATTTCGATGTTTTCGTCATTTTTTCTGAGCTGTTCAGTGCTCCTTTAAAAAGTATACAATCCATGTATACCTACATTAGCAATAATTTGCAGTACACTCACAACGCATAAAAGCAAATAGAGAAATCTTATGTGTTTGCCTTCTCCTATTTGCGGAACTTGAATATGTACTTGAAATTCGACTTCTTGCTTTTCTCTCTCCATCTTTAATAATTCTTCACAGCTGTACACCAAATTATACCGCACACAAAGTTCCGCCTCAATCATTGGGATGCTTAGCTGGTATCTTTCATCCATCCACAAGTTTCGCATCTTGCTGAAGACTCGTTCCACGAGCATATTGCTGTGCGGAATGGAGTAGACATGCTCCATTGGGTTCTGCAAGAAGGGGCACTTTACCTTTTTTAAGAACTTCAGCGACATCGAGGTTGATTTCTCGTCACATTTTACAAGTCCAGGCAGAGCATCCTTCAAAAGACAAAACTCTGAGTAGAGTTCGTCCCCTTACTCTTCAAAGTCATTGCAAAAAAGGTTGCCCGCATTTATTACCATCAATAAAAGGGGTTCATCTTTGCGCAGATCCAATTCGGCGAGCATCTTAAACAAGGAGTTCAGGAAGTCAAATTACTTTTCGAGGTATGCAAAGGCCCTGTCATAGACATTCACAAAGTCCAGTTTTGCAACTTTTACACCAGGAAGGATTTGAAGCTCCAGATTAGCCTTGACACCGAAGAACATATCATCCCTTCGATTAATCAGCTGTTTCCTGAGCTTAGTCATCACAGCGTGAAGTTCTGTCGACTCAAGGTGACACTTTTCGAGGGTGAGGTTTGCTGAATAGAACATTGCAAGGAATGAATGCATGAAGTGCATGTAGCACTCCGGAAGCGTGCCACTCTCTGAAAGTTCATCGGCTTGGTTGCCTATAAATCTCCGGATTCTTTTTTGGCACTCCTCTCCTTGACTCAGAAGGTATGACTTGATAGGTGTCCAGTTCTTAATTAATCTGTCTAAGTCTGGTGCTCACCGGCGATTAGGAGTGCTGGCGCGACCATTTGCGACTGGTTGCAAGCAGTCGCAAACGGTCGCAAAGCAACTGCTTTGGCTAGTTGCTTCCTGACCGATTTTTCGGTCACGCGACTGCAGTCGCAGAACAGTTGGACCCAATCAGTGAAGACCAGAAGTGATGTCAGCCTTTGTTTACATCCGGGCTCCTCGTATGCTTTTCTTTTTCTCATTACGCTGGCCCACTGCCGTTAGGTACGAACGACGAGTGCGTTTCTCTGTGGATGTTTCCTCGCATCCGGCGATCACTACCATGGCCACCTTTGAGTACTCGGCCGAGCTCCTAATCGACGCAATTAAAATGTACCCATATCTGTATGATAAGCGGCACCCTTCTTTTAAAGATTCCACGAAAAAGGACTGGGCTTGGGCAGAGATGGGAAACATGTTCGGCATGTCGAGTAAGTACCGAGATTTTGTTTTTGAATAGCTGTATAAGCAAGAACAGTAGTGTACTGCATGGCTGGCGTTGAATGAACAATGAAAATATTGGTATTTGTACTACAAGGTGACATAGTTTGCATTAGATGTATTGACTGTGATCTATGCGAGCGCAGTTGTGTCCACGTTTATTCTCGCGACTTTCCGAGTTTAACATCGAAATCTACGTGTAAGAATATTGCATAGCTGATATTAAAGCTCAGACGTTCGAAATGCTGCTCGCGATTCCCAACTCGCCTCGCGTATGCTTCTTGCTGTGTTTGAACGTCATCTTCTGGCCTAGGGAATGTGTGCTTTTGTGAACGTGCGGCCTATGCAATGCATAATAGTGAGTGCGCGGTGAGGGAGGTGGGGGGGATGTAAGCGTAATTTCGCCTACGTATTGCAGTTGTACTGTTTTAAAAAAGAATACAAAGTAGCTTCTGCTTTGAGCGCATTTTGTGCGCTCCATAGAGGAGCGTGTAATTAAGACATACAAAACATGTTTAGCAGCACTCTCAAATGTCTGGATTTGTGAGTCAGACAAGCTGTTGATGCTAAATGACATGCAATTGTGAAAAAAAAAAGAAAAAAAAGAAAAGATATGGTAGTGTTCTAGTGGCTGAGCGAACACTGAAGAAAAACACAGATGGGGGAATTTATTCGTCTGTAATGTGGCCCATATCTAATCCTCATTTCTTCACAGTTGTTCCTTTCCTCTCCTTTGTTTGTCTATTGGTGCCTTTATCTCTCGATTATTCCTCTTTCTTTCCAGAGGTTATATCTCTCCGCTTCCTACTGTGCCTCGTTTCTGTTTGTTTGTTACTATATTTTAAAGCCAATTTTTCATGTCTGCTTCTATGTGTTGGTATGTTTTCATGTTTTGGTTCCTTTATTTTCTTCTTATATTCTCTTTCCTCTCACTCTCTTTATGTTACACTTTAAGTAATATACTATGTTTGTTTCATTTCTTTCTCTCGAAAGTTGTCATCTTGCTCTAGTTAGTTTCATCCTTCTTTTCAAGTTATTTAACATGTTTGCTTTTATTTGACAACACTCGCTCCCGCTGTACATGGCAGGGGTGCTTGGCCGATACCAATGGCATAAACTCACCTGTGGAGTTTTGCACAATGCAGTAATGCTTAAAAAGCTTCACTGTGAAGGTAATGAAGACATCATGTGCTGGTTCTTGAAATAGACTTTTTACATGCGAACCTCAGTTGCTGACAGCATAAACAGCCTCTTTGTTACAATAGCTTGGCAGACAAGCTTACCTTCAAGAAACAGAGTACATAACTCTTTGTGCAATTAATCATTGCGTCAGCTGTGATGTCATGCACATGTAGGCGGACGGTCCGAAACACTGGGTGGGTGGCATTTCTGAAATCCTTGTTTGCAGGTTCCCTCAATCATGTCGTGGTTTTGCAATGTTGAGCCCCTAACAATACTTTAGTGTAAATGGCATGCGATTCATTTTGATGCCTAATATTCATATTTCTAGGGTGTTGCAACGGAAATGTTCCGGGCAAAGAAAATAAAGACCGCTCACAATTGTGCAGAAATAAAGTAGAAAATTTATCAGCGATACAGTATGCACAAGACATTGTTACAGCAAGGGTTTTGTTTTCAGGTGTCCTTGTTGAGAAACGATTTAAGAACCTTCGTTATATCTTCAAAAGGAAACAAGACATACGTGAGAAACAGAGGCGGAGCCGGAGCAGCCGACATTCCAACAACAAAATGGCCCCATTTATTTCGAGGCCATGCTTGAAATAATGGAAGGCGAGTCTGAGCCTTTGGCATAAATTCAATATTAGCTGACTATTGAGTACTAAACAGCGAAAGTGTCTTTAATTCACATGACTGCTATACATACGCATAAATGCACACATATATACTGCACATAAACTTAGAAGTCCCACGAGGTAATTCACAGTGGGCATGCATGTGACCATGAACATAGTGGCAATGGGCTGTTTTAATGTCGAATAATTGTGGCTACAGCTACGAAGAATAACTCTGTGCATCATTATTTCAGGGTACTGTGCAACATGAGTGCCATTGATAATGCTTACCCTTCATTGAACAAAAAATGAAATGTTTTGATTAGCATAGCACAATGCATCAAAACAACGCAAAAAATATAGCATACCGTACAAGTGGCATGTGGTCAGCTTCACAAAACAGAACTTCGAAGACAGAACACCAAGAATGAGAGAATTGAGTGTACTTCTGTGTCATTCACAGTTCTCAGTTACTGAAAGAAAGGAGGCTTGATACAAAATCTAAAAATCTGGAAAGATCGCTTATTGCGTGTGTCATGAGGCTGTTCATAGGCAAGCATTACACATATTTTTTTATTTATTTATTTATTCAAAATACCTTACAGGCCCACTGAAGAACATTGAGTAAGAGGGGCATCAGTATACAAACAAAATAATAAAAGAGAAAAGCAGACGAAAAAAAAATATATATAAAGGATTACAAAAATCGAGGTGCAACAGCGTTATACAATATCAGAGTGCAACGAAATCAGGTTATCACGAAAAATCTCATGGTTATAAATGGATACAACATGATCCGGAAAACCGTTCCAATATGCAATGGCTTGAGGTAGTGATGATTAATTAAATGCTTGCGTGTGACCATGCCATGAATGCGCATAAAACTATGTGCATAGTGAATGCGCTGGAAAGTGCGCGCAGGAGAATAAAGTGGCAAACAGTGAATATCGTTACTATAAATGTACCTATGAAACAGACATAAAAAAGCAATGTTGCGGCGTATTTCTAGTGACTGAAATGCAAGGTCTTGTTTTATTAGGGTAATGCTTGAATGATAGTCGCAGTTTCCGGCGATGAATCTCGCTGCCCTATTCTGGACGGCTTCCAACATACGTACCAGGTGATCTTGATATGGTGACCATGTGGATGATGCATACTCTAGCTTTGGGCGAACATAAGTAATATATGATAATGCGCGTACGTTAGAAGGAGCGTTGCACAAGTTTCTGTCGAGATATCCGAGAGATTGAGAGGCTTTCGATGGGACAGCTGCTAGGATAGATCCAGCAGGATAGATCCAATGTAAGGTGAACGCCTAAATATTTGTAAGATGGTATAGCTGACACAACGGCGTTATTAATCTTATAGTGAAATGATGAATTGGTATGCTTTCGAGTGAATGAGATTAACTTGCATTTAGAGGCGTTAAGGAACATCTGCCTAGTTTTGCACCACTGGAAGGTTAGGTCAAGGTCATTTTGGAGAGTGGAATGATCATTAAAACATTTAATGTTGCGGTATATGGCGTAATCGTCAGCAAACAACCTAATTGTGGATGAAAGGTTATCGGGCAAATCAATAATGTATATTAGAAAAAGTAACGGACCTATTACAGTGCCTTGGGGAACACCGGATGTGACGTCGCAAAGGTTAGATGAAATTTCGTTGATCACTGCAAGTTGCTCACGCGAAGAGAGGAAGCTTCGTAGCCAAGACAGGATTAATGAATCAATACGTAGTGTGGCCAATTTAGAGATTAAACGACGATAAGAGACAGTGTCGAATGCCATGGCGAAATCAAGGAAAAGGCAATTGGTTTGTTCGTTAGCGTTCTTATTAAAGTGAAGGTCAGTCGTGAATTCGAATTACTGGGTGTCACATGAGTAGCCTTTTCTAAAGCCAAGCTGATGGGAGAAGAAGTTGTTTGATTCAAGGTGATCGTTGATATGAGAAGCCACGATATGTTCAAGTAGTTTGCAAGATATGCATGTAAGTGAAATGGGTCGATAATTACGGGGCGAAAGCCTGTTACCGGACTTAAATACGGGAATCACCTTACCAATCTTCCAATCCTTGGGCAGCTCACCTGATGATAGCAACTGGTTAAATAGGGGACAGAGGAAATGGCTGGTGATATCTGTGGTGTTTTTCAGTATTTTAGAGTTTTTAGAGTTAATGTTATCAATACCTGATGAAGTAGAAACCTTAAGATTCGTGATTGGGGCCATTAAACAATGATTGGGGCCATTAAAGCGAAAGAGCGATCTGGACCAAATGGCACATTGGAACAATCTTCCTGTGTAAAAACAGAAGCGAAGTACTCATTGAAAGCAATAGCGGAAGCTTCATCAGAAAGCGGCGTAAGTTCATTATCGTGTAGTGTAATGTGATTAGGAGACTTGTTGTGGGGTGAAATTATTTGCCAGAACTTTGGGGGGTTATTTTTGAGAAGTGACGGCGAGTCCTGCGAATAATACTTCTTCTTAGCTGTGTCTAAGGCTTTACAATAGTCTTGTAGGCAGACTTTGTATTTATCCCAGTAGGACACAGAGCCAATGCGTTTTGCGGTATCATAAAAACGTTTCTTTTTATTTCGTAATGTTCGAAGATGTTCAGTAAACCAAGGATTAGTTTTATCGTTGGATGCAGAGATCAGCTGCACAAGCTGGTCAACTAACTCTAATATTTTTTCTTTGAAAAGAAAAAATATTCATTACAAGAATGCAGCATGAGTATTTATATTGTACCAAAACAGTAAAAATGCTCTAAAGATGTAAACAATAGCACTGACAGAATCACATATTGCATGTTCTCTTGCAGCAGCCACATCACAGCAGACGAGGCTAACGAGAGGTGAGCATGCACAAAATTGTTCAGTACCATGTGCGTGCACTTGAAGTTCTACACGCATGGATTTAAACCTAGAAACATTACTTCTTATTGCTAGGTGATTGTACTTTGTAAAATTATGAAAAATGCAACCATGCTTGAAAGAGGATGTTCAATTCGTTAGCTTGCCCTAACCACTGCATTTCTTAAAATACATTCAGTACTCAAAACTGAACAGAAGCAGACAGGAATACATGTGGGCACAGGCATTGTTTCTGTGTGAATGTGGTTATTGTGCAATGTAAATTATTACTGAAAAAGCAAAGTATTAATCAGTGACAGGCTGCAATTAAGCAAGCTAATGCATTATCTACACACACTGGCAACACATTCATGTCATTTCGTTATGAACAAGTGCCCAGCGCTGATTGCCGTACAAGTGAGCTGAATAATGTGAAGCATTCACTCATTCGTTGCAGTAAAATGATGCTGCGATAGTCGTAAGCAGCATGTGTTCAAGAAGCATAATGACAGCACGCACAGTTTCATCAGACACATTGTTGCACAGCCATTTTAGATTGACTGTATAAATTTTATTCACATAGCCAGTGAGATATCTCTCGTTCCCATTTCGATGTGCAGTCTACATAGCATTTTATTAACATAATAGGCACATTAAACTTGTGTATGCACACCTTCTATACAGCAGTGTTTAATCAAGAACGCAAGTGACTTCTTATGATTATTGAACCTCGTGTTGAGTGCAATCATATTGTCATTTTAACACCCAAAGGATGCCTAAGACAGTTCATGTACTAGTGGCACCATCAAAACACAAAGAGAAGTTTTCATCACTGCAATTCACCGCCTCGGCCAAGCCATGCAGCAGGACCTGAGAGAGAGAGAGAGAGAATAAACATTTATTAATAACAAATGCACACTGAGCCTTCTTTGGGTGGGGCCCTCAGTCCAGGGCTCCATTGCCTTGCGCGACCCTGCGAGCCCGCTGGACCAGCTGCTGCTGTTCCTGTCGGCGTAAGCTGAGCAGTGCAGACTCCCAAAAGGAAGGGGTGGGATTGGGAATGGGAGGAACGCTTTGTGGCGCAGAGCATTCCCACGTGGAGTGGTACACTGTCGGTACGGATCCACAGAAGGGGCAGTAGGAGGGGTAGAGAGTCGGATGAAAGCGATTTAGCATATAAAGGAAAGGAAATGAATTGGTCTGTATTTGCCGCCAAGCGACAGCATCTGCTCTGTTAAGTGAAGGATGAGGGGGAGGATACGTATAACGGCTCTGTCGGTAGTACTCCGGCGTAGCGTTGTAGTTTAGTGGTTCTGTCGATGCGTCGTCTGGATTGGACAGCTCTTCCAATGGAGCCCGGTCGGTCAGCTCTCGGGCAACTGCATGAACGCGTTCATTACCGTGGAGGGAGGCGTGTCCAGGGGTCCAGACGATACGCACAGGACGTAATGCGGACTGTGAGACAGAAGAGAGGATATTGTCTGTATGTGCAGCCACAAGTCCTTGAGCGAAAGCACGGCAAGCAGCTTGTGAATCTGTTACAATAGTGACAGGGGAGTCATGTGACAGTGTCGTAGCGTGAACAATTGCCAGAGCGAGAGCTCCCTCCTCTGCCAGACCACTGTCTGTAGTGCGAAGTGTGGCAGACGTCACAAGGACGTGTGTGTCATCTGTCACGGCTAAACACATGGCTGACTTCTCTGGGTAGCGTGCTGCATCAGTGTAAAGTACTTGCTAGTCTCAGGTACCATCACCAAAGACGCGTCATAGCCTGAACTCGGGCACATCGACGACCGGCGTGGCGGGAGAAATACATATTGCGTGGAATCGGAAGCACTTTGATGAGTGCGCGGACAGTAGAAGCAAGTTTATGTCGCAATACTTGTGCGGGTTTTCGGGGAATCGGGTAGCCAAGACGAGACAGGATGGCGCAGCCCTGACGGGTCTGCCTGAGCCGTTGGAACTGACTGTTGTGCTGGGCCTTGATGAGTTCGGTTACGGTGTTGTGGATTCCTAATTAAAGGAGGCGTTGTGTAGATGCGTGTGGAGGCAAGCCGATAGCCGTCTTCACAGCTGTCCGTAGAAGGATGTCCATCTTTTTGATTTGAGCTAGCGTGAGATTGTGAAAGGGAAGATGATAGGTGAGCCGACTAACTATGAGTGCTTGTACTAAGCGGAGGACATCCTTCTCACAGAGGCCTCTCATGCGATTGGTGATGCGTTGGATCATGTGTGTAATTTGAGTTATCTGCTGAGCCAGAAGGTGTGTAGTGTGCGAGGCCTTGCCGTTGGACTGAAGGTAGAGGCCTAAAATGCGAATTCGTGGTACCAGAGGGATAGGATGGCCATCAAGAAACAGCGAAATGTCAGGAGAATCGGTGGTTTTGCGGCGCCGCTTGTATATCAATAACTACTCTGACTTATTCACTGAGCACGTAAGGCTGCCGGCAGCAGCATAGTCTTGTACCACAGACACAGCTTCCTGTAGGGCGTCCTGAATGGTTCCGTCTGATCCTTTGGTTGCCCAAATTGTAATGTCATCTGCATAGATGGCATGCTGGATGTTGGGATTCTGTTGTAATAGGGAAGGGAGTTTAGCCATAGCCACGTTGAACAAAGTGGGCGAGAGAACCGAGCCCTGTGGTGTTCCTCTGCCTGCGAGATGAATGACGTCCGAACGGAGGTCTCCAATCCCAATAGTGGCCGTGCGGTCAGAAAGAAAGGACCTGACGTAATTGTAGATACGTGAGCCACACTGAGATGAAGCGAGATTGTCAAAAATAAGGTCGTGGGAGACTTTGTCAAAAGCACCCTTCAGATCCAGGGCCAGAATAGAGCAGGACCTAAACGTACCTCTGATACGGCTGAGGAGACTGATGTCGACACCTGCAGCAATGAGTAAAACCTTTATGAATCTGCCTAAGTAACGACAAATGAAGCGCATGCATAGATAGCCAATCTATTTAATCTTAAAAACATGTTTTGTAACTTTATTCGTGTTCTAGCACATTTGGAGAATGTGCCTAATGTTTTCACAACAAATTCTGCTGCAGGCAATTGTAACACTTCATAAGTTGTATAGTAATACTTCCTTCTTGTGCCGTGACACTTCAGCAACCACCTCAAGAGAGCAGCCTCCATCAAAACGGTGTGTAAACGGAAAAATATTTTAGGTACTCCTGGCGAGAGATCACAATCACAACTTTTTGAAAAGGATCTCTCTCTGTACATTTAAGCAATATGTATAATTCACTGCAGGTCATGCTCGTCAAGACGACAAAGGACCTGTGAGTGTGCTAGGTGAGATATACCGCAAGAGCTAGAGGATAAACTTTCAAATTTTTTTCTAACAATCCTGCACATGATACAAAAAACAAAACTTTATAAGGTTAACGCTTGGTCAAGTTGGTACACAGACATAGTAAAAATAAACAGTGTGAGAACAAGGTAGAAACAGGACAGAGCACTGACTTTAAACTGATGTTTTTTATTCTGGGCACATTTATACTATGGCAGACAGAACCCATGCAACTACCGCAATATTAGACGTCAATATCACATCATCAGCTTCTGTAGAAAAACACGAGTGCCCGTTTCAAAGATGAAAAGGCCATTTATTGCTCAGAGAGGTAGACGCCCTATTGACACATTTATCTTTTAAGTGTGCTATTTCATTTGCTTTAGTTACTCTATTTTTTTTTCTTTCATAATGCCCAAAATCACAAACATCAGTTGAAAGTCAGTGCTCTGTCTTGTTTCTTCTGTTTCTACCTTGTCGTTCTCGCACTGTTTTTTTTTTACTAAATGGTGCTTTATAAAGTAACAATGCCACCTTAAAGCATTCATATGCATGAATCGGAGATCACACTTGCTTTATAGCAATGCAGGAGAGGGCACAACTCATGAAACTGTGGCACAAGCGTGCATGTAGCACCTTGAACACATCGGAGTGGACAGGGGGTTGTCAAAAAGATAACATTGGTTTCTTCGCTCTACGTACCGATGCACGCCTCAGAAAGCTATCAGTGCACATTGCACAAGATATAATGCATGCACTAGATCTTATGCTGTATGAAGCAGAGGTGAAACTGTGTCAGAGCAGTGAAGCAACTTGAAGTGTTTATATAACACCAATGACACCCACCTTTTTTTTATCTTGTTTGCTTCTCTAGTCCCAACTTAAAGGGGTCATGACTGGTCACCCAACAATTGACGGTTATCAGCAAAAACAAAACTATAGAGTCAAATGTGCTAGTACACGTGTGAAAAGTGGCCTTAAGAAATTATTTTAGTAAAAAATAAGCCGTAGAAATCATCGGCTCTTAACTCAACCAACCACAGGTGACCGACATTTTGTCATGGCATGCGAGACGTCACAAGCCGAAGGAGCTGTGGCAAAGGTATACGCATTGCATATTCACAGGACCCATTTTGACGTCCAAAATTATTTGCTGCAAGTACCAGCAAAACATTGCTGATGCAGTAGCAATGTTTCAACCCCTGAAAGTCATTTAGCTTTAGTGGCAAGTTCAACAATGCGGAAAAAATTTGATTGCAAGCGCAGTTGACGACAAAACACGACCGTTTGCCAGAATACACATTGTGCAGCAGCTTGCCGAGCAAGCGGTTCGTGATGTCGCGGCTAGGGAGTGTGTCAGTGTTGCCCAACTGTCAGGCCACTATTTCTTTTATAAAAATATTTGAGTATAAATTAACAGCTCAACCAAATCGCTCAAATTTTGCCAGCTTGTCTGTGAACATACAAGAATCAGCCCATACAACTCACATTATGGTTGAAAATTGGGTGTCATGACCCCTCTAAGGCAACTTATTTCTGTGATAATTGTAGTGATAACCGTGCAATAACTCAAAGACTTTAACATGAATTATTTATTTTTGTGTTTTCATGTTTATATTTGGACGTGGCATAGTTTTCCCTGTAATGTATCTGTTGCGTCACCGGTGATAATTCTCTTCTTTGTTTAGCTTAAGAAGATGCTAT